TTTTTGTGGTACCGGGGATCGAACTCATGACCTTGCGCTTGCCAGGCAGGCGCTTATGCCATTGAGCTATATCCCCAGCCCCGGGCTAAGGTTTTCAAACACAGGTCTTTGGGGGATACATTTCCAATTCCAACAAAATCATGCATAGATAGTAGAATGATTTACCACCATGAGGTGAGTGCGTCCGTCAGCATTCCTGCTGTACCTTCAGCCCCCAGAACGTGTTCATCTTGTAAATGCACATTTGACCAGAATCCTGCTACTTCGCTCATGCTCCAGCTTCCGGGAACGCTACAGCTGTGTGTCAGCCTCTGAGCATCGCTCCGTAGCGGTCACCACTCCTCTGCTGTGTTTGTGTCCAGCCTCTGGCTTGGAGCCCTTGAGTCTTGGGAGCACTGGGGAGTGAGGGCGTTGTCCTGAGACCAGCAGGAGCGAGGGTATGTTGATTAAAGCTCAGCAGGGAGCAGCCTCAAGGATCAACTTCTAGATCCTTAGCTATGTCTCTCCTGTCCAGCTTCTCTTTTCGTTTCGAGGCAAAAATCAGGAAGTCTAAAAATAATGGGAAAATGAAACATTCAAGGGAGTTGGAAACAAGGTGGAAAAAAGACGAATTCGAGATGCTTGTTTTCAAGGTTTTTCCCCTCTGAAAAGGATTTCTGGGTACCCACGTGGCCTTACCCATTACTCAGAGAAACTCCTGTAAAGTTTCTTCTTTAAAAGGAATTCTTGACAACATCTTAGGAAGCTGAAGTTACACATATTCTATGAGGTATGGTAGATAACGGTGCCAGGTTAAAGGAAGGAGCTAGGTAAGGCAATAAAGCAGGAGAAACAGCCTCTTTCAGGAGTCTCTGTGGGCTCCTGAAATATTAGTGATGGAAGGCATGAAAGGAAATGTGAGGTGAGACCTCCTTTCCCAGTGTTCTGGGCCTTTCTATTTCGAAACTTTACTGGCTGTGAGTGGCCCAGGCTAGAACATGGGACATGGAGCCCTTCATGCTCCTAGACACAATTGGCTTCTTTTTTTTTTTTTTTTTTTTAAAGCCAGTTAATTATGTTTTTAAATTTTTGTCAGATAATAATTGTGCATATCTTCATGGGCTACAGTGTGCTGTTTCCACGTGCTTATCTAGTGTGCCTTGATCAACTCAGGTTGTGTAGTTTACCCATCCTTGCAAACATTCATCGTTTATTTGTGATGAGGGCTTCCCAAATCCTCCTTGCTGGCTATTTTGAATTATCTGATATGACAGTGTTCACTGTAGTGACCCTTTCATGTCAGAGAATGCCCGAACTTAACTCTTTATCCGGCTGGGACTTTGAACCCATTAGCCGACTCCCCAGTCCCGCGAAGTTGACTTTATATATGCATCAGCCTAGCAAGCCGCAGCCTGGGTGGGCTACAGAAAGGAGGGCCCTGAGGCTCCCAAATAGTTCCATACCTGGAAAATTTGAAGCACCCTCATACATTCTCTGAAGTCTCCTTGTAAAACTAAACTGTGTCAGGGCCCCAGGAGCTCTGCCCTGTGGGGTTGTGTCGCTCCAGGACCACAGGCCATGTGAGCGCATCGTGATGTGAGGCCCAGCACTGAGACAGGTGGATAGGAAACCAGGACGACGCTGGGCCAATCGGGCATCACGCCACGTACCTTAGGGAGGTGCAGGAGGGATGAAGACTAAACTGGAGGGCAGACCTTTAGAAGGGCATTTCCCCAAAGTGCAGCTTGCTTTTAGGTTTGGTTTTCCATTGCATTTTCTTTCTGGACCTCCCCCTTCTTTGTTTCTTGGGAGAAGCCAGAGGAATGAGGAAGGGCTATCAGAAGAGCATGGAGCCCTGAGATATGAAGCAGTCGTTCTTGGAGCACATGGCCGCAGATGTTGACGTTCGCTTTCCGTCCCGCTCCCTTCTCTTCCTCTAGCTCAGATTCCTGGAGCCCCACCTAAAGGCACTGCCTGGGTCATCCATATCACAAAATAGTCTGACCTTGAGCTTCTAGCCTGGAAGGGTGTGGCCTAGCTGCTGTTACCATAGTGATGGTGCAGGGTCCACGACTAACAAGAAATGAAGACCCAGGAAATGAAGACCCTGCCTTCTCTCCTACCCCACCTCAGTGCCTTCACATGGACAGTGTGGCTCTGTGTGGCCAGCACCTTGCCCCTGCTCGGGTGACCTCTCCTTGGACCAGGGAGCCCCAGCTGTTTAGACTGTCACTATGTTCCCAGAATGTGGTATACACGCATCCTGCGTCAGGGTTTTCAGCCTTGGGCTCCCTGGGCTCCACACTCCAGCTCCTTCCATCTCACCTCACATCCTTTCATTCCTTCCATCACTAATATCTTCAGGATCCCGCAGTGTGCTGCAGCTATTCTAGGTACCTGAGGACACATCAGTGGATGAAACAGACAAAAGCCCCTGTCTGTGGTCCTGTGTGCTGCCTCATCCTGAGAAAATCCTTAGCAGCCAGGCATCTTGGCCTGCTCCTGTGGTCCCAGCTACTTGGGAAACCAGAAGGTTGCTTAAACCCAGGAGTTTGAGCCCATTCTGGGCAATGCCATGAGACACCTCTCAAAAAAAAAGGAAAGAAATTCTTGCCTGACCCCTCTCCCTATGCTAGATTAAGTGTTCTAGTATATACTTTCCCCTCACTTTCTTTTCTGTCATAGTCTCCATATACTTATTAGTGCATTATTTATTTAATGCCTATTCCTCTACATCCAACTCATAGGTTCTACAAGGTCCAGAGGTTGTATCTGTTTTATTCACCACTACATGTCTCTCTCTGGCACATTGCCTGACCCCAGAAGTACTCAGAGAATGGAATGAAAGAACTGGTAAATAAATGGATGACCACATACTCCCAATGGCAGGAAGGATCCATCAACTGTGAGGGCTGCACATCCTTCTGGAAGCAAAGCTTTTGGGCTGATCTATATGAGTTCCTGTGCTTTTGGAGGCACCAGAATTTGCTCATTCTCACCTAGCCTTGCCTGGATTCTGGGCCTCCCATGGCCTGAACTTTAGGCACTTTATGATTCTGAAATAAAAAAAATGTCTGTGACCATGCCTGACTCACCTGACTCAAGTGCAGTAGCTTTGTGTCCCTCCATCCAGGGTGGAGGGCCCCAAGGGGCATGGTGAGAAACTCCTGACTCTCAAAAACAAGCCCTCCATTTACTTGGTAGGTTCACAATGCCATCTCTCCTTGGGCCGCATAGCTCCCACAGAGAGGGTCCTCCTTTGCATCAATCATTTTCCTGTGCTTTGCACTCGGCTACACTGGTATTCAGAGAAAAATGCTGCCATGACAACTGCCACAACAGATGGTATTTGATCAGTCTCTAAGCTACCAACGAGATATACAGCAGGACTTCTGAGGTTTGCATAGTTTATGTTATCATGAGACCCATTCCAGCCTGAAGCATGATTGAAATGTGAAGTTTAGCATTTGTTTCCTATCCCAATTCTCTGTCCAGTTGCTTGGCATTTGGTCGGGTTTCTCTTGCTCTCTGGCTGTCTGGACGGGAATGTACTTCTGGATGTAAGAAAGAGAGGCTGTAACGTGCATAGCCTTGTGGAAGCTGCCCTGTAAACCTGAAACCCAGAGACTGCTAAGGAACAATTCAACTTTGGGATGGAGGTCCCGGCTGAGACAGAATGGAGGCCATGTTTGTCCTCTAACAAAGGGGGGCCTTGGGGAAGCCCATCCTGGTCTTCACCTGTTGCTTTTCCCTGCCTCCCTCTTTCACCCAACACCTCTCTGCTTCCAGGGTCTCAGGGCCCCTCTTCTGGGCTTCCCACCCCAGCTGTGCTGCAAATGCCAACAACTCGATCCCAGAGTTCCAGGGCCCGTTTCCATGGCAACAGCTACAATAGCCTCTCACCCTGTCCCCACCCCTCTTCAGCAACACTGGAATGTCAGACTTTGCACAGATTTTTTTTTTTCAGCTAATTCTGGAAAGTGGTTTATATTGGCCACTGTGTGTTAATGAACAGCTTTGCTCCTAGTCACATACTTTTCTGGTTAGGAGTCTTTTCCGTCCTCTCTGCCTCCCTTTCTAACCGAATCCTCAGCTCACACTGGGTGTCTGGACTGCACATGAGGCAGGAGCCTTCTAAGAGAGTGCACAGGGCGTCCCGGTGCTGCAGGGCTACTGGCGGTGCTGCTGGGCCCATCCCCTCTCCTGGTGGGGTTGGAGGTCTGCAGTTTCGACAGTGCCTGAAGATGGATTATTTACCTGTGCAGCACTCGCAGGAGAACCTTAAGGTGAATTTTAATCACCAAGAGCGCCTGGATCAAAGAACCAGTCTCCCTTTCTGATCTCATTCCAAATGAAGCAGGAGGTTGGAATTCACATCTGACCCCTTTCTGCTTCCCAGCCTTGCTTTCCTCCTGGGGTGCAGATGAAAAGAGTGCGGGGCTCAGCTGCCTTGTCGGGAGTGATTTTTAACCTTAATGGAACATTATTAAAGAGTGGATTTGAGACCTGAGGAATGTTTTTTGAACTCCTGTGAACAGAGTTCATCGTAGGGGGAAGAAATCAGGGTGCTTGGTGGGCTTAGGGATGATTCTTTAAGTGATGACCACGTTCTTGCTCTTTGTTTTAACGTCTTCTGGAATGTTGTTCCTTGTATTTCATTTCCTCTCTAGAAGATCCCACGCTTGGTGCTCTTGGGCCCCCTGTTCACCTACAGTAGTCAAGGAGGACCCTAGTCTCTGTGTTTACGTGCTCTGATTCTCCCTGAAATTAGACAGAAATCAGCATGGGAGTGATGACGGCTCTGTGGACCCCAGGAGGAGGGTTATGTAAAGCAGGCTCCTGTGACAGGGAGGAGGACCGCTGAGGTTGCAGCTGCCGCTCTGCCATTGATTTGTATGATTTTGGTCAAAGATCTGATCTTGTTACCTTACTTTCTCCATGATGTACTCATACTTGGTAAAACCAACACCATCAACAGAGTGGGACACAGCATGGGCCCAGAGCAGACATCTACACAGTTTTGTTTCTGGAATGAAAGAGTAAAAGCATCACAGAGCTTGAAGCTGGACTTGGTGGCACATGGGAGGCTGAGGCAGGAGGAGCGTAGTTTGAGCCCAGCATTGGCAACTTAGTGACATAGCAAGACTTTCTCCAAAAAAGAAAGCCTGGGGATGTGGGTCAGTGCAAAGGCCCTGGGTTCAGTCTCCCATAGTATTTACCACTAAAGCAATCCATCAATCATACAGCTCAAGGTTTTGAGGGTTCTCAACTTTACCACTGCTGATATATTAGGACAGTTGAGTTGATTCTCCACTGGGGAGGGCTGTGCCTTGTAGGAGTCATCTTTGGTTTGTGCTTTGTAGGAGTTATCTTGTTTAGGGTCATCTTTGGTTCCTATCCTCTAGGTACCAATAGTGGTGCCGCTCAGCCGCACTGTGACAGTTGGAAGTGTCAACAATACACCCAAACTGTTCCCCACTCCTCCACCCCTTCTCCTGTCCATTGGTAAAATATTCAGCTAAATCGTAAAATCCTATGAAGGACTCTGAAAATAATCAACAGAGGAGGAAGAAGAAATAACCTATTTATAATGATATATTCTTTGCATAGAGTTTAACAAGAGCACCTTATAACATAAAGACCCAGAAGAGGCTGAATGGAAGTGTATGGAGGCCAGCCTCACAGGAAGTCCTACTTTGTACTTTCAGTGACGTCATCTATACTGACTGTTCCATAAATACGGTGGGCAAGGGTGTTTTATGCTGCTTGGAAGGCAAGCCCTATAGAACGACAGTGCTGTAAGAAAGCAGTGGCTTTTCTTGGATATGTTGGTGCCTGTCTTTTTCTTCAATGCCACTGTACTCATGTGGATAATCTTGCCCTACCCACATTGACACAACTATGTGACACTTTCTAGGGTAAATACCAAGTGTGCCATTTAATCAAAAAAATTTTTTCTTGCATTAGCAAAGATAGGTGAGGGTCAGCTTTTCCTTTTTCTCATTTTCCATTGGCCATAATTGTCAAAGACACTCTTTCTTGTCAATTATGTATAAGGTATTAAAGAAGTAGAATAGGATTATGGGAAGAAGATAGGAATGGAAGAGGAATTTCATCTTGTTAAAAAAAATAGTGCCCTTGGGGCTGGGGATTTAGCTCAGCGGCAAAGTGCCTGCCTGGCAAGCGCAAGGTCATGAGTTCGGTTCCCGGTACCGGAGAAAAACCAAAAAAAAAAAAAAAAAATAGTGCCCTTTTGTGGAGTACTAGCATATTACACCTGTGTATAGCAGCAGAACTGAGGAGCGATAGTTGACACTTTCTCTTAAAAGCAGGGCTCTGTAATAGAATATAACAACATTTAGAGTTATTACAAATGCACCTCCAACCATTTGCTTCCTTTCCTCCCTCGTCTCCCTTTCCTTCAGGATGGTAGTACCTGTTCATCTGATAGTACCAGTCCAGCGGCTGGACCACAGAAAGGAGAGATTAAAGGCAATCCAAGTTTCCTCCACCTGCCTAGGGTCTGGGATGGTGGCAGGCGTAAGTTATAGCATTAGCGTTTGCTTAGTTTGCAGGAACCCAGACCCTGCTTCTTTTTCTAGAGATGAGAAATGCCTGTTGGATGCGGACCCTTCGAGGTAGATAGAGGTTGAGAAGGATGGAGGCCTGTGCCCCAGGGGCAAGGCCAAAGTAACTGCAAGCTCAGGGTTGAGTGGATTCTTCTAAGATGGGTGCAGCTTTATTCGGGGGTCATGTAGCCAGATTGAGTGCCTGTGGAATATGTTCACATGAGAGTGCTGAGGAAACATGCCAGACTTAGTGGAGAGGGGACGTGACCTTCAGTCAGACTTGGAGCCTCTCACACTCCCTGTGGCTGTGAAGGCACATCAAGAGTTTGCTCGGGGCTGGGGAGGGAGGATGGTGACATGACACTGTGGAAGACAGTCGTTTATTAGCTCAAAACAAACTCCATCGGTTAAATAGTGGTTTGAGCGTCTAACAATATTGATGGCGCCTGTGAGGTCGCGTGGGCTGGGAGAGGAGCACAGTCCTTACTGTGATATGCAAATTGTGTGAAATTCAAAGATCCCTGAAGCAATTTCTTCTATTTATGATCAGCAGTGACGTCAGTCAAGCCAGAATATTTCCCTTTAAACCAAAAAGTAATAAGGCCTGATGACTGCAGTAGAATGAGACCTTTCGGGTGACCCAAAGGCTCTTTAGTAAGGACTTGATGTTGGCTTGCCCTTGGCCGGGGCATCAGTCCTGGCGGGTCTCGGGAGCCCCACGTACTCTAGCTGGTGGCTTTTTTCTTGCCCGGGAGAACACATAGAACAGATAGGTTTGGGAGGTCACCTTCCTCTCTGGCCATCTGCAAGGCCTGCCATCCTGAGAATTTGCCCAGATTCCTGCCGCAGCTCCCATTCACCATTTGTACATCTGACTGTCTGCCTCTTTGGTGGCTGGAAATTTCTCCCAGCTGCTGGTGGATGGGTGGGTCCACTAGCCTCATCCCCGCCTCCACGCTTCTCTGGCCACGGCTCAAGTTTTCAGGATTGCACTGGTGACACTGATCAAGATGAGGGTTCTCACTCCCCTCTGGTTATTTTTGGCAGCTGTGAGCAATCCAAGGCCTTGACTCTTGGCACTGTGTGGTTGGGATGTTAGGCAACCTGTCCCTGTGCAAGTAGAGGCAAAGGAGAGTCCTAACCTGCCTCCGTCCATCCATCACCCATTTTTACAGCATTCTATCTGCCCTTGGTTCCTAATGAGAGACGGTTCTGGAGAAGGCTAAATATTTATTAAGTGCATATTGTTGTTTTTTTTCCCCCTCTAGATTGAAAACATAGATGCCTGCTTGAATTTCCTGGCAGCTAAGGGAATAAACATCCAGGGGCTGTCTGCAGAAGGTGAGTCAGAGCGCTGGTCATGCAGCTGCCTTTTTGTCATTAACGGTGCCCACCCGCTGTTCACTGAGGACCTTGCTACACTCATGACAGGGGATGCTGGTGGGCTCTTCTGGTTTCGTTTCCATCAGGTAGCTCAGTGCTTGCCTAAACTTGACGATGCCAGCTTTTGCCAACGCAGAGAATCACTCTTAAGAATGCAGCCCTGTCTGCAAGACATTGAGGGGGTGGTGAGCTGGGAGCCGCTCTCATTGGAGAAGGGCTTGCTTAGACAGTGCCGATTTGATTTACCTGTCTGGAAGTTCAGTTAATGATCAAGTCAGGCTTTATCTGTGGGAGCAAGAACCCTCAACCACAGAACATAATAAACTGTACAGCT